ACACACACACACACACACCATTGTGTCCCATTGCGTAGTTCTCGGTGTTGTGATATCCATCCTCCCTATTTTTTTCAGAAATAGATAGCGACTGTTAAGCACCTGATAAAACACGCTGAACACAAACACACACGGGGCTGCATCTATCTGAGGCCTCGGGATAATTCTCAATTCATCTTTCGTTCAATTGATAATCTGGTTTCTCTTTGTGCAGCTGAAATCAGCGTTCAGTTTAAATTAAATGAATAAAGTACTGACTTCAATGCAGCAGTTATCACTCAGTCACCTTCACGTATCAGGGAGCCGTTTGGTTTTTATCTTACGTAAATGCCGCTGAGATCAGGGAACCTTTCCTCGTGCTGCTTGATTTCAAATCAGCTGCCAAAAACCAACATAATGAAGTGAAAAATAATAATGTTTGAGACGCATTTGCTTTTAAAGTGACTCCGTGCTTTATATTAACAATAAAACAAAAAGCAGTGTGTAACGCTGGCAGTCACAAACCCTCAGAGATCCACACTCCCACTCTGTGAAGTGTTTTTCATGTCTGTCGGCTCATTGTTTTGTTTTTTACGACTCACAACTTTACTGTTGTGGTTTAGTCTCGCGGCTCTCGTTAATGTTGTATCCAGCAGCTTTTTCTGTTTCCACAAAAACTGCTCGAAAACTCCACTGTCCACTGCTGACAGCAGCAAACAGACGGGGAGCGGCCGGTGAACACCGAGCTGCTGAAGAGCCTGATGTTTCCTCAAGGAGGTGGTGGAGACCAAAAAGAGATGACAAGAAAGGTGAGGGTTCAATGAATTCATTCGATAAACACTGATGTGACCCGAGAGCCACGTATTTCTTTAAGCAGGTGGAGACCAACCTTTCGCATGGGTGTGTCCTTTTAAATGAATGCATATCAGTACATGAACAGCAGGGGGCAGAGCATCACAGAGTTAAAATAAGGACAATTTAAAGGAAGTCAGAGTACAACTACCACGAAGCGTTGGGAGCAAAGTAAGGTGTCGAGTGAAGCAGTGGAAGAAGCTTAAATCACAATGAGACTGTGACACTGTGAACATCTCACTACACAGAGATGGGGTTGTGTTTCATCCGTTGGTAAAAATAATAAATCAGAATATGTTTTCTGTGTCGCCCCCTGCTGGATGTTGTTTTTAATCTTCCTGATGAACTCGTGCGTCTCTTTGCTCGTACATTAATGAAAACAAATCAACAGCCGTCGATTCTTGAACGAACCACGGAGCCACACGATGTAGCTGAAAACTGCACGATGAGATTCTCCGCAGGATGAGCCGGACGAGCAGCCGCTCACGAGTACAGGGATATTTCTGACTCGATGTTCTTCCAGTAAAACACAGAATCCTTTGCAGCCTCCTGAGTCACTGTCAGTGTGTCTGTGTGTGTGTGTGTCTGTGTGTGTGTGTGTGTGTGTGTGTGTGTGTGTGTGGGGTGAAATGTGGCTTGTTAGTGTGAAGCGCTCTGACTGGTCGATAAGATAAGTGCGAGGCGAGTGTCGTCCGTTTGTACCTATTGAGGAGGAAAGTGTTGTCGGAGCAGGTCAGAGCCTCCAGCAGGATCTTCTTCTCTGAAACGGCGCTGGTCGAGTGGAACTTCATCCAGATGAACTCCCACACGTCCTCGTCCATCAGACTGACGCCGGTGCAGTACACGATGTCTCTGATGTTGGGAGGAATCCTGCAAACACACGAACAACAGGTAAAATACTGAAGTCACGTTAATGAAGTCAGTTTCAGACATGAGCAGAAAACAGTGTCTCTCTGGAGTTTCAGGTTTTTAATTTTACTTTCATTTTCTCTAAAGCTGTCTCAAAATGTCCCCCTGACATTTTACCTTGGGGGGGGGGGCCTGATGGGAGACGTTTAGAAAAAACCTCCAGAGCAACTGACTCAAGATATTTACGTTCTCACATTCAGACCCTCTGGAAGATTTCAGCGGGCCTGAGAGCAGCGTCACTGTAAGTGAGAGCGGCAGAGACGGGATGTGTCTCTGAAGTGAAAACCCAGATAAGACACGTCTGCAGGATTAACCGGGACGCTCCCCGGATGCAAAGTGAGAAACTCCCGACTCCATTAGAGAAGAAACATCCCTTCACTTCTCCTGTGGCCACGAAACGCAGAGACGAAGACTTCGCCTTCAACTAAGACTCAGAAAAGCTGCATGAGACAAACTGGCCTGTGGACTGAATTAATTGTGTTTTCAGTTTCACAGTCTGCTCAGATTTATTAAGTCTGGATACAGATCGTGTTTCTCCAGTCGAGACGCGTCCTCACTTACATGAAGTGTAAAAAAGAGTCTCAACGCTGGACTCACTTGTTTTCTTTGGAGGCTTCAAGCGAAACGCTGCTCATCGTTCACTCTGAATGATGAGCAGCTTCAGATCAGG